AAATGTGAGACATTTTTCACCCCACAAGCTGGAAACAAAACCTTGTTGTTGAAACACTTCACAAGTGATTCATTATTAATTATAGGTGTGGGATTTTGCAATAAATTGCCATGAGATGAGATTAATTTTTCAACAGTCAGAGATTATTCTAAGCTTTAAATTATTTAATTGAACGCTGGTTGTATGGAGTTGTATTAACAGGATTTTGACATCAAATTGACAAAGTATTTTTAATTCCCTTGATAAATTAAAAAATAAAACCTTCAGACAATCCGGACTCATTTGTTTAACCATAAACCGTTTCTCAACTGATTTCTTAATCATTTATTTAATGGTGGTTTATACAGTAATGTAAGATTTTATCAATGTTGCCTCACCCAGATGGATTATCAAAGTTGCTGCTGATTGTTTTTGATCAGCTAACTGATGGACTGACTCATGTTTTTCCATTCTTCTTCCAAGTGATTCATGACATTCAGCTGCTCTCTCGGCTGTGAATCAGTCTCCATATGTCTTTAAATAAAACCACTTGTAGCTCTTTGTCTTGAGCACCAGTAGGATTCCTATACATGAAAATATATATAAAAAAATGTGCTGTGAAATGCAACTCGCCCCAGAGCAGGGGACTGGATCTGGGTATCACATTCACCACTGCATGAATATAAAGCAATGAACGCATCATAACACACACACACCAAAAAAAAAGGCAGAATGATCAGTTTTCAGTGATGTGGCAGCCAAACCACCAGCGGATAAAGTGAGTCCATCTGGAGAGAAAAAAAGCCATGATGGAAAAATGGCATTTTTTCCCCTGAAATAACCTAAAGCTCTGGAACCCCTTTCAGAGCCCAGGTGCCTCACAAAGATAACCAAATGAAGAGTCTGACGCTGCTCACCGCTGAAACAACAGACATGTCCACACAGAAGTGCACACACATAAAAGCAGGCGCAGCTGTCCTCAGAGAGAGACACAGGGAGCCTTTACAGCACCGAGGGCCAGTTGCTTTCCACCAGGATTTCTTATTGGTGGGCCCTCGCTCTTTCTCTCTGAGTGGGGCTCGGGCTCTAAGTCCTCTCTGTGTGTAATGAGATCTTTATCAGAGGGAAACACGATCAGAGTCGAAAGAGGGAGAAAGGGGGGGACTCTGGGAGGATAGGGGAGAGAAGGTGTGTATCACGAGGGGTAAAGGGGGCAAGCAGCAGGGCACAGGGCAGGGGAGAAACAAAAACAGGCCTCTGACCCTCTCAGCAGCGACCCACTCAGCAGAGAGAACGAGGGGAGCATTCACCTAACTCTTTGCGAGGAACCCAAATCATGTTTCTCTAGTCCTGAAGTTTCAACCGGCTCTCGTTCAACAGGTTGAGGCAGTTTCAAGTTTTGCTGTTGTACTCAGTTTTGTTTTTTTAGACCTTCCACTGAAACCCTGAGCTGACATTTTAAGATGTTAAGAAACTTCACTCTGCATGAAGCAGAAAGTTATTCAGCGTTTGAGGACAAACCTTTTGAACATTAGTTTTGATTGCATCTAAAACAAAGATAAAGAAGGCGTTTGTTTTTTATCCCCTAATTGCCTCCAAGGAAAAACGATTTCTCCCACCAATTACCTTATCGGGAAAAAAAACAAACCTGAACTTTCATTTGGCCTTGTGTGCACCTTTGCTAATAATAACAGCTAAATTAGATTTTTTTTTTGTACTCTTAAGTTTCTATCTCTGTCAAAAAAAAAATTACATTCCTTTTTTCGGTTCCTTTTTTCTATTTTGTTGTTCTCCAAAACGTTGGCTAAATGTCACTTAATAACCAAGTGTTAATCAAATCCAGCATAATCATCAAACTCACTCAACCCTTAAACCACACAATCACACTATAAACCAAACCAGTGAGCTGTTAAACTGCGAGCCAGGCAGCCGAGGTCAATAGACATCAAAATAAGATGAGTAAGTAAAAGACCTGCAGGAACAGAGGCTTTAGCCCCGACTCTTATCGACAAAAATGCCTCTATCTGTCTGTTTTGCTACTTTGTGGGCTTCAAATCCGACACGGAGGCCAGAAAATGTCTGCAAACTGTTTCCAAGCCACGGTGAAAAAAAAATATGAAGAGTTTAAAAACCAGTGCAGCAGACCCCCGGCCTGCCCGTGGCTGTTTCCTAGCTGAGTGTTTTTAGAGGTGTGCAAGTGTGTTTCCCATCTCTCTCTCCCATCATCTTGTTTGTCTCCCGAGCTGCTTGCAAACAGACTGCGGTGGCTTCAGGTCATGAGGTAAATATTAGCAAAGGAGGGTTAGAGGACATGCAGGAAGCCAGTCATAGCAACCTTGTCAGATTATCATTAAATTGGCATCACTGCAGCATTCCTGAGCACACTGTGAGTGTGTGTGTGTGTGTGTGTGTGTGTGTGTGTGTGAGTATGAGGTCTGCCTGTACATTGCTGTGCGAGCTTCAGAAAAACCGATGGGACGTGATCAGTCATAACAAAGTGACATTTTCTGAAGTAATCCCACTCAGCTAAATGAGAACTAATCCGATTTGCTCTGATCAAATGTTAGAAGGTTCTTTACCGACCGGGGACGTTGACACATCCAGCCTTCTTCTGCACGGCTGCTCCCTCACCCCCCGACAAAAAAAAATAACTCTGCTCTACCCCCCTCGCCATTTCACTCAACCACCCTCAAATTAAATATCAAAAATGTATCAAACATCCTGCAGGAAAGTTTACAGTCAGGGATGTTTCTCCTGCTTCTTCTTCTTCTTCTTCTTTCTAGACGGCACCACAGTGATGATGTATGTTGCCTGTTCAAGCATGCTGGGAGGAAATCAATTAAGCAAACCCCAGTTATTGATAATGCAGGCGCGGGAGTGATAGCATCCTCACATGGAAATCCATAACAGCAGGACCGCTTGGAGGGGCCCGCTCGTAAGCCTGCACACACACACTCTTAAAAATAGAAAAAACACACGCGCACCATAGTGGCCCAAACCTGCTGGTTTCCTATACTTTGTCTCATAACTCATGGCCTGTAGGGAGGTGCTTGTATTGTTATATTTTGTGTGTATGTGGTACACCGTGCAAGCAGAGGGCCAGATTAATTTATTAGCTGAGGCAGCACTGCTCCCCAAAGTGGGAACAGGAAGTAAGAAGTCGTAAATCTAGATAAGTCACCAGATAGTGTACTGTACATTTCTATAGGGCGCGCTCCCTCTCTCTGTTATCGCTGCGCTGTAATATGGGCCGAGACAAAGAGATGGAATTTAAAACAACAAACAGTGAAGACTGATGCTGATTGCCGTACAAGTATTCCCTTTTTTATTGCCTATCGGACGCCGCTGCTGACTGATACATTTCAGAAGAAAAACAGGTTTGTCTTTTGTTATTGCAAAGCCTGCACACAGCAAGATAATTGTCTATTGTTTTGTAAGCGCGGAGCAGCAGGATAATTAGGTTGAGAGAACACTTTGCGGAGTGCATTATTGTTCCACTGTGAACTTTATGAAATATTCAGCCGGCATGGGGATTTTACAAGGAGCAGAGCGGAGAAACAGATGGAGGAATGATCCTTCAATCCCGAAAAACCAGCGTGGCAACCTTCTAAGACATTCCCTGCAGGTGACATCATCAATCAATAAATGTCTCCCCCACTTTTTGTCATCCGTCTTCCCCGTGACTGACACAAGGTGTGGGTTTTTTGTGCATATGGGATATGTGTGGCTCTTATCTCTGTGTGATGACGCTCATTGTTCCACTACCTCTGCAGCCTTTAGTCAAATAAAAGCTGATGGGCCGTAGTAGTCTTACCATTAGGACCCAGGCCACACACACACACATCCACACATATCCACACACACTCCAATGAACGTGGCAGCAATATTCATACCCACTGACTGCACAACGAGCTCCAATGACATCTGACATTTGGGGGATAAATCATGGATTCACTTGAATGAGTAAGTTCTAGCTATAAGCTGGTCGGGCTACTCTTCATTTCCCCCTCAGTGCTGTGAGCTCACATGAAGGTCAGCTCCTCGGCCTCATGCAGAAACACAGGACAGGGGTTTTATTTCTCTCCGTTTTGGTGTATTTTCCCTTATGAATGCTTTCCAACATCATGCAAATGTGGGAGTCAAGTCTAAGTGGGTGATAATTGTTACCAGAGCAGATTTTTTTTATCAGCAGTCTGGGCTTACTCTGCGTGTTTTTTAAAGGGAATCAAATGAATTTTTAAGAAAAGTGTCTGGCTTCAGCTGCTTGCTTTTGAGAAACTTGCCCCTGTATTTGAAATACAGTAATTAGACTGGATCCAAAGCCAGGCCAATTAAGGAAAATTTGATTCATTTCAAGCGTTTCTTGTTCTCATATCTGAAACCATCGTATCACGCATGTTGTGTGGGCAAACTGAATTCACACAGAGGAGAGTTGGGACGCAAGTGTGGCCCCACATTCAGGGCTCCTGAGACGGTCTGAGAGGAGAAAATCCTCGATCTAGTTTACAGGGCTACACCTTGGCACACTTGGCACTCTTTCCAGGACTTTTTTTTCTCCTTCATTGTCTACTCAGTTAATTACATCATTTACAAGAACGTGAAGGATTAAGTGAACACAGTTTCACAACTCTTGGATGGTCGTAAATGGAGTGTCAACGCAGACTTTGCCCTCGATCTGTCATAAAAAGGTGACTGTAATATTGTCATAAATTATGATAATTATCCACCTATCATTGTGTTTTAAGTGAGGCCTACTGTTTGTGGTATGAGCCTGTATCTACTGTGTTTCTGTGGTGTTGGGAAATTCCCCCTCTGAGAATTAAGTCAACACAGAACTGTGTGGCGCAGGAACGACAATTACATCTAAATAAATTATGCTCTTTTTTTAAAAGATAATTGCCACATTTTAACAGAACATTTAACCCAGCACACAAAGGCAACTTTTCCAGTAATGTCAGTCTTCCATTGCGCACACACCCAGTGAATTTGGTATGCTTGTACAAATGAAACGCGAGACTTACTTGGAATTCTGCGAGCTCCAAATTATAGTCTCCAGCGATTTGGCAGAAGGTAACGCCGACCTGCACATTAAAATAAAGATCCAGAGATAATACTTCCAACAGCCGAGTCCCGCCATTCTGCTTTTTGTACAGACAGTGAGACGATAACTCAGAGAGGGTCGGACAGTGCGCCTGGCAGCCTCTATGTGTGGTTCGCCCGGTGGGAAGGTGAGCTACGATCAGTCAGGAGCATGTGAGGTCGATATCAGATACATGTCCTTCTGTCCGACTTCTTAAAAATCTTCTTCAGGCCCCCGTGTCCTTGACTGAACTGTCCGCAGGACGTGCGAAGAAGCCCCCGGTTCTTGACGGGATCTGGGAGGGAAGCAGCCCCCCGAGTGTCCTGGTTGACCTGTAGCTGAGACAGAAACAGCTCTCGCGACCTTATTACTCAGTAGAGACAACTCAAGGATACGATCTCATGTGTGCTGAAACAGATCTAAGCGATCGCACAGTTTCTGGAGCCACAAATGTTGGCGAAGAGGGGCTGCCGATGAAGCGCTGCGCCGAGTCTTTGTCAAAGCTGCCCTGATGGTGTCTGTACCTGTCGCTGTTTATAGCCTACAGATGACCACATTCATCCATCAGTCACAACTCCGCAACACGCTGGGAATCCCGAGGTCCACTTCATTCCAGTGTTATCTTTCACTCCTCCTCCCCCTTTGCTATTCTTCTCCGCAACGGATTTCAGTTTCTATTGTAAATATCCCTCCCGGCTCTCAGCGCCGTTCCGCGTGTGCGTTGCGCTCCAGCAGGGTCGCCTCTATTCCAACTCGGGCATGCTGCGTGGCCAGCGCGTAAAACACTCACGTCTCCACACCTTGTTTCACGTTGCTGCTCGGTCACAAAAAGTACCGAGTGACGGTTAAACCTGCGCACCAGCCCGCTCGGTGCCTCTAAATCCGCCTGCCAACGTTTCCATGCCGGTGTGTGTCTGGGTTTTTTTTGAAGACCGTGAACAACAGTCTCTGGGCTTCGATGCGTGCAGCAGCTCGAGCTCAACTGTAACCCGAGTCGAAGAGAGCGCAGGAGGGGGGACAGCCCACCGTGCGAATCGACCAATCACAGCGCTCAGCGCTCTGTCCGAACTTGGGAGCAGGAAGCGAAGGCATTTATGGGGACGTGGAGGGGTTGGTGGTGGATAGATCGAGGGAGGGGAAGGGAGTCTGTTATTGGGTTGACCCCACATCTCCACTCCCCCCACTCCCCCCACTCCCACCACCACCACCACCACCACCGCGGCCCGAGCCATCGACCCAAATTGAAATGGACTTTGAAGTTATTCGTCATACTGAAAGCTTTGGTGAGGAAAAGGAGCGTGATAGGCTATTGGAGCGTGCGTAAAAGTGCTTACAGGAGAAGAAGTTTGGCCTCTTTAATCGTGGACCTGCTTGTCCCTGTAGATCTAGCACTTAACATGTATGCCACAATAGGGAATTATAATCATCATGTCTGTCTTAGACTATTTGTGATTTACTGGGCTATGATTTCAGTTTTATACAAACAACTTCTCTATTTATACTCGTTGTTTATTTCTGCAACAATGTTCAGAATGTACTGTATTGTGTTACGTTATCTGTTATTTCAGTCTCTGCTTTGTTCCACTTCGAAAGGAATGATGATTTATGGTCTCTTTGGATCTGTTTCTAGTTGTCCCCGTTCGGGATAATGAAGTGCATGAGAACTCAGTCTCCAGTGTCGATACACAATAGACGGTCAGTAGCCTATAGTCATTGGGCCATTCATTCATTGAGGAAGAAATGCTTGACACATAATTGATCATGTCCATGTCTGTGCCCCCTTTGTGTGTGTGTGTGTGGGTGTGTGTGTGTGTGTGTGTGTGTGCGTGCGTGAGGGAAAGAGAAAGAGAAGCAGGAGAGTTTCTCTTAATTTTGGTGAATTTATTCAATCAATGCCGCCCCCTAACGGTAGTGATGAAATCGATTCACGGAATACAGGAGGGGAATTCAGTATAATTGGAAAGGAAGGATAACAGGCATTTAAAGACACGTCTTGTGTTTCCTGGAATTATTTTTATAACATCCTGTTGTGCCTTGACAGCCCATAAATCTTTGTAAAACAATAATCAACTTCACACCTGAATGATTATGTGCTCAGTTTATCCCAGTGAATTTATGTTTGTGTGTGTGTGTGTGTGTGTGTGTGTGTGTGTGTCTGTGCTTCTTGTGTGTGAGGGCCACAGACGTTTCAGTGCCGTGGCTGCATAAGAGTATGGATTTCTGGCACAATGTCCAAGGTGCATGCAGAGGGGAAACGGTGTTAAGAGGTCATAAAGTTGTTCTTTGTACTACAAGTGCTGCTGGAGTTTTGACATTGCTGCATCCTCAGAAGCCTGCCTATAAACCATCGGAGTGTTGTCACAGTAACAGCAAACACAGGCCAGTTGCCACAGAGCTGGCATGTCCCATCTGAAGGCCAGGACGTCTGGGATACCTGATACTTCACTGACCAATCACATGGTCACAGAGAGATACCTGATCTGCTGCGAGCCAATGAGACGCCTCCTGCATACAGTTGGATAAATGCCACAGCTGCAGCCAGTATATGAGTGGTCAATAAGAATAATATGTGACAGTGGACATACCATGTTGTTGTTGTAAGAGTGTGATCAGACCACAGCCTGGATTCAACAGATTAAAACAAAAACTGTAAGACAAGTGTGACATAACACAGGGATTGTTTTAAGATGCAATCCAAACTAATCTTATAACAGTACACGTGACAGAAGAAAAACACATCATATGCAGTACAAGGGGATTATGAAGGATATGTGGGAGATAATGGACTTTCAACACAACACTACATAAACAGTATAGCTTTGAATCAATATGCTGTTGCTTGGATGTTTCACAAGGAATTTATTGAAAGAAGCTTTTATATTCAGTCTCACACACGCACACATGGAAGGCAATCTGATTTTTTTTTTCATTCCCTAAGACAGCCACCTATAAAAAAAAGTGGCATTTTCAAGAAATGAGGTCATCATGTTAATGTGTATATGTGGCTGTGATTAGTGCTTCTATTAATAGTCTGATGTACTTTCATACCACTGGAGCTCATAAGCAGACAATCTTCAGACCCGTTAAAGTCGAGTCAGGCCGAAACCAAAGAATATGTTTTATTATTCATAAATGTTTTTTACCCATTAATTAATCATTTGGGTTTATATGCAGAAAATTTGGGGAAATGCCAGGCACCCTTACCCATGAGGCCGAGGAGGCGTCTTAAAGCGACTTGTTTTTTTGTGCGACCAACAGTTAAAGAAACTGAAGTGTCTGAACGCTAGTGAAAAGCAAGGCAAGGCAAGTTTAATTATATAGCACCTTTCAGACACCAGGCAATTCAAAGTGCTTTACACAGGCACAAAAAGCATTTCAAACATTTCACAAGATAATAATAAAACAATAAACTAAATCTAAGAAGGCAATACAAGTTGAGGTAAAAATAAGATTTAGATCCAAATAAGTTTAATAAAAAGTAATTGATCAAAAGAAAACAGTAAAAACGTATTGTAAATACACACATACACATATACATATCTGTGAGTAAAACAAAGCAAAGCAAATGTCTCTAATAACCGACATGGTATGCCACATTAAACAGAAATGTTTAGCCTTAGAGGCTGGACTGAGAGACAGTGAAGTTCAAGACTAAATGCTAATGTCAGCATGCTAACATGCATGATGGCAATGCTAGCATTCAATGCTAAACTAAAAGTATGTTTGCCAGCTTGGTTAACATTTGATGAAGCACAGAGGAGGCTGATTGGAGTCTTAATTGTTTAATATGTAAAAAAAATAAATGCATAAAGACAATAATCTAAAGAATGATAAAATTAGATTCTGAACAGACGATGATGGAGCTGGGGGGAAGCTCCTGAGATATTTCAGTTTCTCCAGAGGTGAACATGAAAGCTTATAAAAATGTTACAGAGGTAATCATCCAAGAGTTAAGACATTTCACATGCAGACACAAACGTCAAAGTAATGGTGGCAGTAGGGAAAACAAAGTAACAGGACTACCCAAGTCATGAAGATTGATCATCTGGTAACCATGAATGTGTATGCAAAATGTATGCAGGTTTTTCAACTGTCGTGGACGTGTTTTAAAACATAGTTCTTAATAATTCATCCCCTGGGCACCATTATTGTCTATAAAAATGTATTAGCAATGAAACTAAAAAATGAACATAATCTCTCTATTTTTTTGTTTTTTTAATGTATTCATCATACATTGTACAATCATTTTAAACAATATAAACAGTTAAAACAAAGTCATGTATTAAGTGGTGACTGAACAGACAAACTGCTTATAAAAAGCTGATCCTACATTTGTATCTAATTAAGCTAAGAGAGGTAAAAAGAGAGCAATAACTGATTCAGCATTCACACAAAAACTGCTTTTCCAAGCATTTTATTTTGAAAAACAAAAGCAAATTACAGGTTTTTTTATTCATATCGTCATCATTCCATAATTTAACACATCTCCTTTTAAAACCTTTTTTCTCTTTTTGTACATGAAACTTAGAAACACTTCTTTAATCATATTCCCTCTCCTGAATTAAAAATAACTTTTGTATAGTCTGGATGTGACTTAGATTTTGCTCTGAACATTATTTGCATTATTTTGTAATAGAACAAATCATCACATTTCAAGATTCAAGATTCCATTCATTTGTCATTTTTCTCATGTATCTGTAGAACAAATGCTGTTCTCCCAGCCCCAAGCAGTGTGACAGAAAGAAAAACATGTCACATAGAGACACATACAGAGGCGATTCTAGAGTCTGTTAGGGCCCTAGGCAAAAATCCATTGTGTCTGGACACATAAATATACCTGAAAATCAAGAGAGAGATCAAATCAGTTCTAAAAGTACGGTAAAACAATTACAATAAAAATAGCACCAATAATATAAAGTAGAAAAAACTAAATTCAAGAAATAGCACAGGCAGCATACAGTTAGCACCACTGTCATTCAATTCAAATTTCTATTGACTTAGACATTTTTATTTTGATATAGTCGATATGTTGTTTCAATGTTAATTTATAATCAATAACAACCCTGAGGAACTTTGGCTCAAAATGTCATTCATTTTAAGTATTACAGGTTTTTAACATAACATTATCATTAAAAGGTGCACTATGTAGTTTTGGTGAAATGTAAAAGTTGGAGAAGTGAAACAATACTGTGCTATATTTTCTGAACTGAATCCACAAACTTTATTCAAAAGGAAAAAATGTGTCCCCGAATGGTTTCACTGTTGCAGCCCACCCACCATAATGTTTTGTGTAGTGTTTTATCTTCCAACAGTGTTACATGTTCCACATTTTCCTCTGAGGACAGTTTGTATATAGTATAAGAACATAAACCACAGAATCTGTACATTTCTCCAACTTCCACATTTCTCTACCAAAACTCCATAGTGCACATTTAATTTCCTTTTGGGTTACGAAAATCATGAATTTATTTTTCTTAATATTAAGAGACAATTTATTAACATCAAACCAATATTTGAGGATTTTTAGCTCCCTTTCAGCACTTCATAAAATGTCTCTTAAAGTTTTACCAGAACTAAATACATTTGTATCATCTGCAAAAATATATATATACAGTATTTAAAAATCAGTAACACTGCAAACATCATTGATATGAAGTATAAACAACTTTGGACCGATCACCGATCCCTGGGGTACTCCACAGGTAACCTTCCTAATTCTTGACACAGTATCTTTCATTTGGACACACTGCTGTCTACTTTCTAAAGTAATGACGAATAAGCAACACCACGTATCACACACTTCATACATTTTCTCAAAATGGTCTGTGATCTGTAGTATCAAAAGCCTTCTGTCAGTCAATGTACAACCCAATGTGCATTCAATGTAAATTAGTCATTTTCAGATGCGTTTGTTTCTTCTACCATCTGCATTACTGCATAAGAAGTAGTTTTATTTTTCCTAAATCCTTGCTGGTTTTTATTTACTTTTACAAATAACAGACTCAATTTTTTTACAAATAACTTCTCTAAAATGTTTGAAAAATTAGGAAGAAGGGAAATATATATGATGTACTATTATGAAAACAAGAAGATGATCACTGACGTCACTTATAAGCAACCCACTTGTTGCTTGATGATGAGCATGGGTAAAAATGTAATCAATAAGTGTGGCACTCTCTTTGGTTATCTGACTAGGTTTGTCAATACGGGGCCAGAGGCCCAAACTAAACATAACATTAAAAAACTCTGTGGTCAGTATGTTTCATCATATGAAGATTTACATCAGCTCAAACAAAGAGTTGTTTCTTATCACATACTTTTCCCAAAATGTCAACATTAGTGTTCATACATAAATCAATGCTAGAACCAGGTGTCTATATCTGCAACTTAAGAATGCACTCTTGTTGTTATGGATTGAAATGAAACTATTATCATACTTCACTTTACTGATCATTCTAGGCATACTTTTAACATTATTACTGGTGTCTTAGCTATAAATCTATTATACCTGTTCCTGTATTTCCATCTATCCCCTCGCAACCCCGACACTGTTTTCAGCAGACGGCTGTTCATCATGAGTCTGGTTCTGCTCGAGGTTTCTGCCTCTTAAAATAATTTTTTTCTTGCCACTGTAACTTTGCTAAATGTTACTTAGTGCTGTGCTCATGGTGGATTAATGTTTGGTCTATGTAAATATTATAACAAAGTAAGGTCCAGACCTGCTCTGTAAAGTGTCTTAAGATAACGTTTGTTATGAATTGGTGCTATACAAATAAAGATTGTTTGATTGGTTGTTTGAAAACCAAAAGGAGCTCAGCATGGTGACACAAAAAGAAAAAGTTTCAGGATCTTCTGATAACCATGAATATCTACCTGAAATGTTGTAAAGATAATACAGAAAAAAGGTGTAAGAAAAATAAAAGTTAAAAAAAGTTCACATCCTGGTGTTACTAGACAAAGTCAAAAGAGAAGTTCTTAGGATTTATCTTCTTGGCACTATGGGATGTCTGTGCAACATCTAATGGCAGTCTATGGAAGTCAGGATCAGAGCAGTAGATAAATAGACCAGTGTTCCTCGAGCAAGGCCAAAAATATTCAGTGTATAATTTAATAAAAGAGGTGGTAAATCCTCAGATTTTAGGGGCTGTAAAAATATATTTACATTATTTTGCTTAAGAAATTACAAAAGATGAATTGATATTCAACCTGGTTGGAGGTTAAAGCTCTGTTAATAATCGAATGATTTGTTTCAGCTCTCAAATGGAGAATAGTTAGTCATTCTCTGCAGCTTTTGTTTTCCCCTCTGAAACTCCAAGATGAACTCTGCAGCTGAGGACAAAGTTCCCTCCCGATCTGATATTTACACTCAGCAAACACTGAAACCATGACATCATCATTCCAGGATGAAGCCACTGCGGGCCTGTAGTCAACCCAGCAACCTCACAGTGAAAATAAATCACAGTTTAAGTGGCCTCCTCTTGCTTTTAATCTGCCCTTAATGAAGTCTGGCACATTCTCCCTCTGGTGTGGCTCTGTGTCATGGTCGTGATCTACGGGCCGGGCTGGAGACCAGAGGGTGCGGCCTCTGTGGAGCAATGGGGGGAGATGTGGCTTCAGGATCCAGGCTTATGGATCCAGGTATGAATGAAGCCCCCTTTGGCATGCAAGGGGTCAAGTGGTTAACCCTCGTTATCTAAAGGGGACGAGGAACATGTGACTCGGACGTTCCAGCAGTAATCAATATCGAGCAGCCATTAACCACTGTGATAACACACCCTCACAAAAACACAGTCACACACACACACACACACACACACACACACACACACACACACACACACGAGCACTCAGCAGCATGTTTCCCGTCCATGTCACGCACAGTAAAGTGTCCACTAAAAGAAACACAAGAGCATGAATGCAAACAACATGAGTTCACTCCAAACACTGGGCTAAATGAAACAGTGGGAAAACTCTGTTCATGTAAACGGACTATTTTCAGATGCTGACACTTGAAAGTTGTTGTTTGAGCTATTCATGCTGCTCTGATTGAACTGGAGCAGCACAGAGGCCAAACACAACAGCTGGGGCATCCGCAGACTTCCATTTCCTGTTTGTGGTACAGCTTGATTGCCGTCCAGACGTCTTCCTCCTCTCTCTCTTCTTCTCCTCCTCTTGCTTCACTCCACCTCCTCTTCTTACTCATCCCAGCCATCACGACTGACAGGAAAGCACTGATTACAGACAAATAACAATCTGCGCTAAACATGTCCTCCCCAATTTAACATCCCAGCAGGAGATGTAAGCTAAACCTCTTCTCCTCTCTTATTCTTCCCTCCTCGCTGCTCATATCAGCAATTAAATCTAATAACAAGCCAAGACAATGGATGTTTCGTGTAACCGTTTTTGTCTACATATAAACATCTCAGGATCATGATAACAATCCTGATTAGTAGCTGAAAGTGATCCTCCTATCTTGGCTCCCCACAGTTCCCTCCATTATACCTCTTTTAGCCTCTCAGATGAGATTAGGATTTGAAAAGAGAAATTGTTCTTTGATGCTAAATATCAAAGAAGTCTGCGCTCAACAATTCCAGATGCAAAAGTAAGGAAGAAAGTTGGGACACACATACACTCACACAGACACACATAGGTTATTAACTCGCTGTGATTATTTGTAAACTGGATTTTGTAGGCCCGTGGCCCGGAGGGTTTAGAGGGGAGCTAAATTGATGGAGAGAATATGCCAAATGGTGGCTTGGGGGGGATGTTCTGTCCATTCTAATAGAATTACAAGCCTCTGATAGATGAGTCTTTTCTCCAAGGCTACTTGTCTGTCAAACATTAGGTCACACTCAGTTTCCAGACCGGGTGGGAGGGTGGTGGGTGCACAGTGAGAAGAGGGGAAATAGAAAGGGGGCTCAAGGCACAGAGGAACGTCTGAAGAGGTGCCTCGCTCCCTGCCAAGAAAAAAGGAGGGCAACAAAAGTGAAAAAGGGTTAGGGGAGAAAAGGAGGAATGAGAGGAAAAAAAGAGAGGGTGGGAGCTGTGAAAGAGAGTGAAATGAGTGAGGGTGGGGGTTAAAGAAAGAGGAGAGAGTGAGAAGGGTACAAAAGGGTGCATTCGAATCCACTCTAATTAAGGCCTGTGTGATGGACAGGACCTGCGGACGTGCTTTCTTTTCTTTTTCAGTGTGTGTGTGTGTGTGTGTGTGTGTGTGTGTGTGTGTGTGTGTGTGTGTGTGTGAGGGCACGGTGTGACGATGGGAGGGGCCGCG